TCATGGGAGGCAAACCAGTTCCTTACAAAAATGTATGTGTCAACCATATCCCTCAAATCATGCTGGAAATGTTCTGCACATCTACTCAAGAATGTCACTATGTTGTTTGGCCTCCTGTTGGCACCAAATTTTTTTGTTGTTGAGAGAGATGACAGTTATATAGAATTGCTTTTAAATTACCTCTACAAATTTTGGAATCTTGCCTGTGATGAGATACAACCTCCATGGCATAAAAATGTCTTTGGTCTCAAACAAAAAAGTGAGGAAATTGCCACAAAAAGTCCATGTCTTATTCCCAATTCTCTTATTACCCCAAATGTTTTATCTCATAGCGACTTGAAGAACTTTGAGTCTATAGACAAACCAGTCAAGCAAAAATGTTGTAAAGATGAAGAATGGCTTTGTAAACTCAACCCGTGCGAGGTATGCAGAAAGAGGAAAAACAAGTCGCAAGGTGCACAACAACTGTCCTACCAATCTTATAGGTATGGCTCCAATGGAATTCACAACAGCTGTCATCAAGACACTTTCCTTGAAATGACCTATCATGGTTTCAAACGTCACTTTACTTCCCCCAATGTAAATATGTCACAAGGTCTTACAGCATTACTTAATTCATTTGTATTAAGAGAAAAAGGAAAATTCCATGACAGTAAAATGTCATTATGGTAGTGGTTTAGGGACAGAACGTTAAATGGTCACACATTATGCCTATGGTAAAGAAGCTGCCCTTGATTTCATCATGTACAGACTTCTTGAATCCATGCCTGAAGATCTTCAACAGAAATTTTCACTCAAAACAAATTATTCACAATCATGCAGTTATGGCCCAAACCATGACTCATTTCGCACCTTTAGACATAATGTGTTTCCAGTCAGTGCTGAAGATGTATTAGACGAACACCTCCTCCAAGATTCCAATGAGTTCGATGCTATTCAGGTGATTAAACACAAACTAACACTAAGGAATTTCATCCCAACATCAAAATGCTCTATTCTGATACAAAATAATCAGAGTAATGCCATTGACTCAGACTGTGCTATAATTATAAGTGATCCTAAGACTTGTGGGGCAATGTTACAACAATCAACAACTGTACTCAACCAACCTGACATATTTTTTGTTGGGTACACAGGAAATTCTTCAAAAGGGTACACTCCAAACTTGGACAAAGAAAACACAATTGATATTAACGGCTCTATGTATAAATTGACTGGTATTGTCTACCTGAAATCACATCACTACTGGTGTGAAGTGTATTCTTCTCCAAAAAATTACAAAAATGGTTGGTTTGTTTACAATGGTCTATGGAATAATGGAAAAGCAACCTGTGTTGGCCCCAAACCATTAATTCTTGAAAAGGAGAGTTTGTATCTTTTAATGTTTGAGAAAGTTGCCACGCAACACACAAATTGTACCAATGGAGTCACATTTCAACAACTAAATACTTTGAATGATAATCAAGTAATAAAACGGATAATTGAAGATCACAAAAACTTGATGTTAAAAGACAACAAGGGTAGCCTTACAAACATTAAAGCCATTCTTCAACATTAGAGCATCTCTACACAATCAAACCAGAAAATAGCTGACCTAAAAGAACTTTTACTGAAACAATGCAACTCATTTTCAAGTGTACCTACAACTTTTGTTCCTGATTGTAGTGTTGAGAACTACATTGAGGCTCCTGAAAGGAACCACTCTAATCTACCTCATAAACAACTGAATGACTTTGTTTCTGTAACATCTCTCAAAGACTCTATGATTAACATGGTAAAAACACAAGAAACTGTAACTGAAACTGCAGGCATCAAACGACTCAACTTAACACCAGTGAAACATGGCTATACACCTGAAAGACATCCCACGAAAAAACAAAAAAAGAGTAAACCAACACGGCCCAACAAGAAAACTGAAAATTAGAGTGAGGGACGAAGCTACTGAAGATCTATACTTTGAGCAATCACCAGAAATTAAATCATTTAAGGAAATGGTTGCTGCCCTACAAAAGGAAACATTGCCCTCTAGTGATAGTGAAGCAACAACATCAACAACAATAAGTTGTGATCAATTGACAGCTGTCGAAACAGGGTATCTGCTGACTAGTATCTTTTGATCGTATCATGGGCTCAGGTGTTGACCCATCAAGGCCAGTATTTTTTAAAGTTATCCGCTGACAAGTTACTAGTTTTCAAGCAAGCGCAGGCTCAAGTATAATTTATTTTAAAATTCATATGAAATATGTTGTGTTTATGTGCCGAACAATTAAAATTTTGATTTCAAACTGACCTCGGATGCAAAAAATTCAGCCGGCTATGCAAGGAAGACAGTTGCTTTTAACCATCTGTCCGCACCAAAGGAAAACCAATGCTTACTTTCACACTTTCTAACCACTTTGGGAGCCCAGGAGAAAACTGATTGCTCATCAATGTTGTGATCAATCATGGATAATATCCGTGGATCAATTGACATCTGTCAAAACAAGGTATCCGCTGGCTGGCCACCTGACCGTATCGCGGGCTCAGGTGTTGACCCATCGAGGTCGAGTACTTTTTTGAAGTTATCCGCTGACAAATTACTAGTTTTCAAATGATCGCAGGCTCAAGTTTATTTTTTTAAAGTCATATGAAAAATGTTGTGTTTATGTCTCTATGGCCCCGCACTATTAAGATTTTGATTTCAGACTAACCTTGGACGCGAAAATTCAGCCAGTTATTTAGAAATACAGGCGGGGAAGACCTTTTCTTGCCAAGGTCACGCGTTGGTCACGCTCTACGTCCAATTTTTATGCTCTGATTGGTCAAAATTTGACAGGTGAGTTCATGCGGAAAATTTATGCAGCATCTTGAATCTTGTTTACTTTGACGGCTGAAGCTGACAGAGTTTTGTGTCAACTTGTGATTTTTTTAACTG